TATATATATATATATATATATATATATATATATATATATATATGTATTTATAAATATATATAGGTAGAATGTGAACTAATAGTAATAATTGAAAAACAAGAAAATGTAGCTTATTTACATTATTTGGTCAAACGAAAAGATATATTGATTCCAAATCTTTATAAATCAATTTAGCTGCATATTTATACTAATAATATAATTTATCTATATCATAATATTAAGAAGAGAGTAAATAGGTATTCTCCAAAAATCAACAAATGGAATAAAACATTTATTTATTTTACTAAATTTTCCAATATTACAAAATGTGTGTGTGATTCTTTTCCTGTCAACACATACATGAAAATATAACTCTACAGACCGTTTACACAATTTTAGTAGAACTAAATAAACAAATATTTATTCTAGCGCACCTTTTAGTATTATTTTTACTGAGCATTTCAATTTGTTAGCTGTATAATCATATTTCAATTCGAAGTTAGAATGTGTCAATCGGACTTTTAAAGATATCTTCAAAATATTTTTCTTAATAAAATATTTTGCGTAGAAACAGGTCATAAATGTCTATTTATCATTTTCCTATGATACTGAATTAGAAATTTGTTCACTTTTATGATTCTTTTAACAATTCTTCTTCAATTCCCTGCACAGAGAAAGGTTTGTCGAAAAAGGTTTGGGAAAACAAGTTTTTAGTTTCAAATAAATACAGATAAGGCATTCTTAATAAATCTTTATTTATTTCACATCTTCTGTGTAACCGAACTAGATTACTAGCATAAGAAACCAATGTTCTTTTTTTCAAAGACATTTATCTCCCTTTAGAAACAAAGAACGAATTAAAATATGTGATTTCGAGTTACTGTGATTTTGATCAATGATAATTTTATTTCAAAAGGGGAAACTGGACACTATACAACAACTGGAGTGATCACTTATTTTAACTAAACGTACTGCTGAAAAAAACGTTTATGGCATAAGTTTCAGCTTTTTGATTAATGAAATTATTAGGAAAGGTTGGAACAATTTTGAAAAAATGGAACATTTTAATACATATACATCCACACTTTTGGTTTAAGTAGAAGATAGCAACGCATTCAATGTAATATTTACCGAATATTTAAGAAATATTTACCGAAAAGTTAATTAGAACTACTGTGAAAGAAACATACCTTAACATATGGTGTATAACGCGCACCTATACTTTCAAGTTGCAGTTGATTGATTTTTGGTATATTTTTGATTTTTTGGTATATTCACCATATAACGTGCACCCCTTTTTTTAAAGGAGAAACCTGAAATGTACGTAAGCAATGATCTTATGTTTTAAAGTCATTATTCGAGGTATTATTTCAAGCTTTAAAATAAAAATAGTATCTTTCAAAAACTGCAACCTCTTTTAAGTTCTTAAGGTATCCGACTATGTTCTGAACCATGATTTTAAAAAAAGCGCATAAATGGATAATTTTCATGATATTTAATGTCACTTAGATGAGAGTACATGTATAAAATTGTTTTAAGGACATTTTGACAAAAAAATTATTTAAATACAATATTTTGGCAAAAAATTAACTTAGAATAACCTTTTTTCAAAATGTTCTCCTTTTGTGAAGAATGCTTCTCTTATAATAACATTTTGCCTATATATAGCTCAGAACTCTGCACAGAGGCTCAGCTATGATTTTTTGAAAAATTCACATCATTTTCAGAGTAACAACCAATTGAAATAATTATCGGCGTTTTTTTTTAAATTTCTCCCCTCTGTGGTCGTAAAACATGGATAAACCCACTTCTAAGTTATATATTTAAAAAATTCTAGTTGAGCCTCTGTACAGAGGTCTGAGATATATACAGGCAAAATATTATTATAATTGAAGCATTTTTCACAAAAGGAGAATATTTTGAAAATGGGTCATTCTATGTTCATTTTTTGTCCAAATATTGTACTTAAATATTTTTTTTTATTGTAATAATATTCTAAAAACAATTTTATATAAATTTTCTATCATAAGTGACACTAAATATCCTAAATATTCTCCATTTATACGCTTTTGCAAAATCACGGTTCCGAACGTAGTCGGATACCTTAAGGAATACATTGTAGAAGTCTAAATTTGTCATGTTCATCTTTTTTTCTTTTTATTATTTTCAGATTTGCGTACAACGCGTACCCGTCCTTATTTTTGGGTTAAAAGTGCATGCTATTGCGCATCTGGATCTTAATGAGTTATTTTTGTGATAACACGGTAATTTTAAAATCACACATTTTTATAAAAAGAAACACGTTTATCTCCCTGTTATCGCAAATTATTTTACAACGATTTGTCCATTTTTTTATATCAAAGGATAATAGCCTTACATATTCATATTTACACTTTTTATAGACTATGTGTATTAACAATAACATATGAAACAGTACAATAATTAGAGCTATAGAGAGAGAATAGAGTTATAGAGTTTTTCTGCTTGAATAAAACCTAAAAACAATTCATAGAAAAAATAGGAATAACAAAATTTAAACTACAATATTCGTTTTAAAAATAGAATGTTTGAAACTTTCTTCTCCCATATAGTCTACTAGTTTATCAAAAGTATTTTTTTTTTTTTTGAGAAAAGCAAAGGCAATTAAAAAGTTGGTTTACTTAAATAACCAAATTGTTTATGTACAATTCTAATCTTTCCAATGTTCTACGGCAATGCAAATGCGCAGTTGTTTACCCTTATAACTGCTTCGATAAATGAATTATCGTAAAAGAGAGGTTGAAAATTCGGATTGCGAAGTTCGAATTCCCTAGTGATATTAACATTACGATTGAAGCAAATGCAAGCCATGAATATTTCGAATAGCTGTGCTTTCCCGGTTCTCAGTCATTATTTAAGTACAAATCAATATCTAACTTAAAATAAGAGGTTGAAATGCTTCGAAACTTATACCAGAGGTATCATGTGATGAAATATTTGTTTCCACAACAAAATTAATTTCATTAATTGATCATGTTTGTGTAGAAAAATCAGAGATCTTTGGAGAAGTAGTATGGGTTGGAGAAAAACATAAAATTTCTATAATGCGTGTTCAGAATGTTTTTGCTTTTGGTTACAAGGAGGTTTCAAAAATCATAAAAGATCAAATGCATTTTAGTGTTGCTTGATGAAACATTTGAGATACATTGTAACACAATGTCCTGCAGAAAGGTAAATAAATTGAAATGACAATTTTGTGTTGCCAAATGGCAACAAAGAAATTGACATTTAAATAAGTTCTCTTCACTTCATGTAGCCACAGATGCATAGTTTTATAAAATAATAAATCAAGCTAAGTATAGTGGCACTTCAAAAAAAGCAGGTAGTGGGTTCTACTAACGATTCTAACTAATACTCTAAGGGAAATAATTTTGCTAACGTTATAAGATTATAAAATCTCTTTTTGTAAAGGAACGGTGATTTATATTAATAACGGTTATACTACTTAGAGTAAAGTGAAGTGGAAAAGTGATGGTTGTCTTACTGAGATTAAGGTATTGGATATGTAAGTTAATATTGTAATCACAGTAGTATAAGGTGAAAAGATAATATTGACCGTTCAAGGATTATCAGTTATATTAAAAGGGAACTTGGCACCTTTCAAAAGTCGAAAATCGATGAAAATATCGATTTTTTAGTTTTCTTAAAATGTAGTTTGATACCTCTGGTATAACTGTGCGAAGTGTCGAAACGATCTGATTATTTTAAATGTAGTAAAATGTATTTTAAATATTTTGACAGCTCTGTCAGCTGTTTAAATGCCACGCCCACCTCAATGCTTACACTTTTTTTACTTGAGAATAACTCTAATATTTTACATAAAAAAAAACTACACAGAAGAGGAATCCGTTAAGCTGTGACTGCCAGCAAAGTTGTTTATTTACATTAGCTTTGCCAATTTCGCTTGCTGTGTGCTTTTTAATTTCATAACTTCTTTATTTCATAGAAACTTAAAACAGTATTTTGTAATGCTACTTTAATCATAATTCATTTTATTAGTTAATATTATCGCTAATATGTCTCTTAGGAAACGTTCAGTACGTGCTTTGCAAATGAATGAAAAGCGATGGCGTAAAGAGAATTATGAATGTGAAGTAACCAAAAATTCAAATGTACAAAATGTACGCCTGGAAAAATTGAACACTATGGTAGAAAAGGAAAAGTCTGCTGTTGGAAATTACATATTGGTGGACTTTAACCAAGTAAATAATCTACTTCAAAGTGCAAAGTGCCAATATTGTGAAAAACAAACTTTGAAACTGGAGCGTGGAGCCAAGTTAGGATTTTCATATAATTTGAAACTATTGTGTAGCAATTGTGATGAAAACAAAACTGTTGTGAATAAGTCTCTAAAGTCTGGTCCTACCAGCCATGATGTAAACTTGAGAATAACTCAAGCTTTTTCACACATTGGGAGAGGTTAGTCAGCCATAGAAAAATTTTGTATGGTGATGAATATAGACCCTTTTTCATTAGCTACATATGGGAAGTGTGCAAGACAGCTGGATAACGCATATACTCTGGCATCTGAAAACATATTTGTGGAAATCCACCGAGAGATTAAAGATGCGTAC